GAGCGTTTACATTTGGTCTGAGGCTGAGTTTATGATGAGTGAATATCCAAATATTCACATGCCTTATATGCTTGATGGGGAGGACACCCTGTTATTCTGGATACCACAGACCCCGTTCGGCTACATCCTCAGGGCTGCCGTGAGCCTTTCTCACCCTGTGGAGCAGTTCTTTCCTGTCTTCCATACACACTTTGCCTGCCTTTCCTGTGCGCATGTCCCATTCTTTATTAAGGACAACCTGGTGCTGTAGAGAAAGCCCATGGGACCCATCCGGTAACATTTCTTGGGGGCCGGGGTCCAACCCGGGGCCTCATACAAGCTAAGGGAGCACCCTACCACTGAGCCACACACCCCCAACCTCAAGCGCTTTTAATGTTCAGCAGAAAAGTGACTTCAAGCAGACTTTGTACTCAAACAATCTGAACACTGTGATGCAGGCCTAACACACCAGCACTCTGGGAGGCTGAGGCAGGAAACTGAAAGTTTGAGCCCAACTTGGGCAACGGGGCAATTTGTCAAAACCTGGTCTCCGTCCAGGTATTACAGGTGTGCACCACAGCCTTCCCATCCCCAACCTCCTCCTGTGTGTGTCCTACACTACAAGCCACACAGGACTGAACAAGACAGGAAGCTTTTCGTATCTCTGAGATTTGACTGCCAAGTCCCGTTCCCTTCTAACCCAAATCAAAAGCTGTCTCAGGTGGGAGGCTTACCCATGCTCTCCCAGACCTCAGAGCACACTCGTTACACACTCATAAGGCTGTCTCACACAGCTAGTCTCAGTCTCTAGAGTTCCCTGTGATTTATATATCTCGGAAACTGCAGAGTTCATCAAACTTACGGAACTGAACTTAATTAAGGGAAAGTGTACCCACCGAAATGAACTGGTGCTGAGGCTTTATAACAGTTCACACTCAGTTGCAAAACACACATCACAAGCCAAAAGGATCCTCTGGAAGGTGTGAAATTAGCAGCAGCCTCCATTGTGTCAGACAAACTGCACTGTTAAAGCTCTGCATTCATCAGACACTGGAAAGCAGATACCCTTCACACAAGCATGGAAACTCCGACACCCTGCCTCCTGGCTTCTCAGTGTTAGTCTGGAGAAATGCGTCTCTCCTCACAGCTATTGGACTCCCCCGTCCCACACACACAGGGCCAACCTAACACACATAAATGAGGAAAACCTGCTGTCAACAGATACACCACACTGCAAAAGTAACACAGTACAGTACAGTACAGTACAGTAATCATCCCTTTTTCTAAGGAATTTTCAAGTTGTCTTCCCTGGTGGTTTCTAGTAACGGTTTTTCACCTGAGTGTTCAATCCTCGCCTGGTCCACAATGACTTAAGAGAAACTGTCATTGGCTGCATATAAAATATGCAGGATAGTTACTGTAAGTTAAAAAAAAAAAAGTCTTTTTATATTTTCTATGAAACTTTTTTCAAATGGCTGCCTCACTAGAGAGGGGAGGGGGTCAGGAACTGTAGAGGCCCTGAGTAGTGCCTGGAAATCTGCATTTCTAACAAGCTCAGGGTATGCACTGCAAGGATCCTCCCACAAGGCAGCAAACTACTTTAACTGCACTCAGTGGATTCGACCCCAGCTGCCCACACACAGAGCCACAGCAAAGGGCACACACTGACTGCAGCACTGGCCCCCTCTTTGCTGCGCACTGCAACTGGCTGGTCCCAGGTCTCCGCACATGCTGGTTATTTTCTAGGACAGCTCCCAGAACTCTGTGAAAACTTTTTTTTTTCTGTTTATCAGTTCATAAACAAGTTGGGAACAGTTAGAAGACATCCTCAGGGCAAGGTATGAAAGTGACTACAGTAACACACAGCTGATCCTTAAATAACAGGTCTTGACTGCTGTGATCCACTTACCAGGACTTTTTTTTTTTTTTTGAAATTTTGTGACAATTTGAAACAGCTCAAAGAGCACAGCCTAGAAGTATCAAAAATGAATTTTAAATGTTTGATATGCATAAAGGCATAAAATTTCAGTGACCCCTCATTTCCGCTATTACCTGTAGAGAAGTACTTTTATATCTTACTGATGTAAAATACACATAAAAAGTTAACAGTGGGGGCTGGGGATTTAGCTCAGTGGCATAAGTGCCTGCCTTGCAAGCAGGCAGTCTTGAGTTCAATCCCCGGTACCGGTAAAAATGAGAAAAAAAAAAAAGTTAACATTGAATCTTACACACACAGACTGAACAGGGCCTGTTCTTGGTAAAGAGAAAGGAACCCAAAGGGGAGGATGTTATGTATAGCCTCATAAAACCAAATGTGGGAGGAGACCTTGCATTACTGTAATGACCCCGAACCGCTTCCTGAGGGGGCCTCCATGTGATACAGAGCCCCTCCACCACAGAGGTTCATCTCAAAGCTGCATTTTCTACGAAGAAAAGTCACCTCATGAGGTTTCTGTGTATTTTTTGTCACGCACAATATATAATACCAAACAAAACACATGTCAATCAACTATTTTGTGTGTTGATGAAGTGAACTTTAGGCTGCTAAATGCAGATGAAGTCAGAAAGTTGTAAGCAAGTCTTTTTGGTGGTTGTTGGGTTTTTTTGTTGTGCCGCCGGCCCCCCAACCCTACCACCACCACCACCACCACCACCACCGCCACCCCTGTGCCTGCACAGTGCTGGGCACTGAACCTGGGGCCTGGGCACTGATACAGCCCCAGATATCTTTTAAAAATTTTTTAGACAAGCTGGGGTCAAATTTGCATCTTTCTGTCTCAGCCTCCCTGAGTGCTGGGCTTAGAGGCCTGTGGCATCATCCTGGGTTTGTCTCTTTAACATTTTACTGAATAAAACAAAGCCAGATAAAAAAGAAAGGTAAAGAAAGAAGTTAACACTGTTGCCTAGTTACCTTTTCTAAGCACTCTCAGGACCTGAGGACAAATCCCTTCCTCAGGGAGAAAGCAGGCACTGAAAGCTGGAATGTCTGCAACACTTGTTAGGATGGATGCTCAGATTATTTTACCATAGACAAAAGTCCAGATCAGTTCTAGACCAGACAAGGATTAGCTCAGTAACTAGAGGACAGACGGAAGTAGGCAGAGATCCTGAGACTTCAACCAAGAACTGAGCCCTCACAAAGGCTGAAACAACTGGTTTTTCCAACGGACACCTAGAAGCCAGCAGCCTGATCAAAATACATCCTAGAACCTGGGTCCCATTAAGTTTACAGAAGCACAGAGCTAGCTCTACAGTAAGAACTTTTCCATTTCATTGAGCCTGCAAACTGGTGGCAACCAAAAAGGCAATCTCGGCACTAAGGGACCTCTCTCTGAAACAGTCACGAAGAAGAGCAAATGAAGTAATTATATAGTACAGGTAGTCTGCAATGCAAAAACTCGAAATCTGAAAACTTTTTTCCTCACTAGACAGAAATGAGAATACAACGCAGAAACTATCAGACACGGATGTAAGACTTAACAGAATAGGCAGTCTCCCTCACTCCCAGTTGACAGGAAGCTTCTGTTTTCCTGTGTTGTTTCTCATGAGGGTGCTCTGGAGGATGACCAGTTTTACAGCATGAACACTCCAGGCAGTGGCACACCTGGCGAAAGGAGCTCTGGAAAACACGAAGGGCCAAGAGCCCGAGACTCCAGGAAAGAGCCCTAGAATTGAGGAGGGAAAGAGCAGCTTCCTGTACATTTTGCCAATACTTAATGTAAACCCAAGTCTCCTCGGGCTGCTTCTCTGCTCCAAGGATCGTACAGCTGCTAAAGTGATCAGACTCTGAACCTGCAGCCTCCAAATGCGGCCCTCAGTCTCCATCTGACATGCTAGGCAGGTTCCAGAAGGTCATAGACAAACTGAGGCAGATAAACGTTGCTTCAAAGTACAAGTAACTTCAGTGCACTGTGTATCTCCCGGGCCATCTCTTACCATGAAGTCACTTCCCTGACGTCATCTGCAGACCAGGACTTTGGGAGTACAACATGCAGACTCTGCTGCTAGTTAGTTTAAACACCCGCCCGCCCCCCTCCCCACGTTAAAGTTGACAGCAGGCCTGGCAGGAAACTACCTGCCTCGCTGCCGGCTCAGGCAGTGATTGGGGGAGTCGCATACTTTTAAGTTTTAAATATTTTGCGTTTTCTAGAAGTTTAAAATAGTACTCTACACCCAGCCAGAATACACTAGGAACTGTTTTTCAGGATAATTCTCTTAAGCAAGAAATGTCAATAACCATTCATTAAAAAAAAAGAAAAAGAAAAATTCATTCTTACTTTGCAGTTGAGAAACCCCTTTAGCTAGGCTAGAAATTACTGTACCCTCTTGAAATTGCCAATATTCTAACCGTAAGATTCTAATAGAAACTCCCCAAGAAAAAAATGTATGTTGGCATCATTTACATGCATCCAAAAGCCATTCTTTTTCTTTTTTCTTTCAAACTAGGTTCTGACAGGCGCAGCGCGATGAATTTCACTCCTTCCTACTTCCCACTCCCAATCGCTCGCTGTTCTTTTTGAATGACGCCATCCTCCACGCGGCACCCTTCCTCATTTACGCATAACAGCAAGCAAAACAGCAGTAAATCTTAGATCTCTTAAAACAGCAACTAGAGCAGGCGAGAAAACCCGGGCTTTGTTTTTGAACGGTGAAGCACAAACATCAGCAGAGCACATTTAAAACACACCTCCAGGCACCCAGACCCCAGGCCGCCAGCCTCACTCCCCGTTCGGCAGGGCTCCCGGAGGCCCAGAGCCGCTCCACGCTCGAGCTCTCCACACCCCGGGCACTTCGCGGAACAAAACGCAGCGAGCTGCACACGCGCGACAGGGCAGCGTCCGCGTCACGGGCAGGGCCATCGGCCCGGTCCCGCCTCGCCCTCCGGAGACGCCGCGAGGCGGCCGGGCCGACGCTCCGCCGTGCGTCCCGGTCCACGCGGCCGTGTCAGGGTAAGGCAGGGCCTGCAGGCCCTGCAGCCCCGCGCCGCCGCCCGCCCTCGCTCACCCTCGCCGGGTACGAACCTGCCTTGCACACCGGCGCGCTCGGGCTGCGCTGCTCTGGGGGCCGCCGCGGCGCGCGGACACGGGCCAGGGGCGCGGCGGCGCTGCCCTCGCCGGCCCACAGGTGGGTGGGCGACGCGCCGGGCGACGGTGGCGGGGGCTGCGGCCGCGGGGGGCTTCCGCGCGCGCCGCGCGTGGGGCTGGTGCCGCGCGTGGCCGTGGCGGCCGCGCCCGTCTGCGTGGCCACCGTGGGACTCGTGCGCGCCGCGGAGCGCGGGGCCCCGCCGCCGGGCCCTGAGGCGCCGCCGCCGCCGTTGTTGCCGCCGCCCCGCGTGGGGCTGCCGTGCTGCTGCTGCTGCTGCGGCTTCAGCTGGAACGGGACAGTGGCCCGCAGGGGCTGCAGGCGGCCCCCGGGGCCTCCGGCCACGGCCACCGCGCTGCCCCCAAGCGGGCCGGCCGGAGGGGGGGACCCGCCGCGCCGCACCCTCTGGGACATGGCCGACTGCGGGGCGACGGCGCGAGGCTGGGACTGGCGGGCGGCCGGACTCGCGGGTGCGGAGAAGCGGGCCTCAACCTCAGAGCTCAGCGTTGCCTCAGCCGCTGCTGCCGCGCTCGTCAACAATAGTGTCCCTGCGAGGCCCCGCCCCGCGCGCGCCCATTGGTCCGCGTCACCGCGCTCCAGCCGCGCCGCCGCGCCCATTGGCTGCTAGACCCGGTCCCGCCCCGGGGCCTAGAGCACCAGGGTGTGCGAGGCCGTCTGCTCTTTAAAGGGAGAGCCCCGCCCCTCGGGAGCGGTGCGCGTGAGTGCGTGAGCGTGTGCTGCGCCGTGTTGTGTACACGTGAGCACGCGCGGGTGCGCGCTTAGCCACGCGCGGGTCTTCTCGCATTTAGTGGGCGGGCGCCCAGGGCCCGGGCCCTGGTTCAAAAGCAGCGCGGCCCCAAGCTGGGCCGAGCCGACTGCAGAAGCGCGGACACCGTGCCCCGGGGCTCTTCGTGCACCTTTTTGTTGTGTCGTAAACCATCTACCTGTGGGCAGGGCTCGCCAGCAGAAAAAACTGCTCTTCCTGACGCCGTTACTCCTCTCCTTGCCTTGCCTTTTCTTTTGTTAAAGCTCTGCAGAGAGCCAAACCGTAGTTTAAAATTGCTGCTTGCAATGCCCCTTTACCGTCTCCATCGCGTTCGTTTAACCAACGAACTCGGTGCTCTCCTTTTCCTCCAGAAGTCGGGGGTTCATTTTAATCACTAAGGCACAGGACCCTGGATCTGGAAATGTGTTTCACAAGTTTGTAAAGTGCTGTACTTAGTGGGCTTTATTTGAAGTTCACACATCCCGCTGGCCAAACGTGTGAAATGAGCCTTTGTGGGGTGGGTAAGGACAGGGGGGCCTGAGGGACCCCTCCTCAAGACAAAATGAAGTGTGGCCCAACGCCCTGCAGCTCTGGGCATGCATGGCTCCGTGATTGAATACCCCTAGGTTCAGTCCCTAACACACACACACACACCCCGGAGCTGGGGGTGTTAGCTCAGTGGCACAGACATTGCTTAGCATGTGTAAGACTGAAGGCTCAGCCCAGCACTGCCAAATAAATGCAAACACCATCTCCGCCTAAAACTTCCCATCTCGGGATGAGGCTTCCATGCCAGAAGGAGACTCACGTCTGTCAGAGCCCCCTCTCTGCCTACTTCTTCCTTTCGGGGCTCCAACCATACTGCTGTCCTTTACCTTCCCCCAAATGCCTCTTACTCTCATCCTGATTTTGTCAACTTCTAATCAGTCTTTAGATTGCAGAGGCCCGGGTTGTCTTGATCTGTGCTTACATTGGCACCTGTGGGTTAACATAGTGCTTATACTTTCCTGTTATGGTTATCATCACACAACTATTTGTTCAGTATCTGGCATTCTTTCCCTATTGTAAGTGTGCTCTTTCACCCAGTAAATATTCCTGACCACCTTCTGTGTTCAGGGCACTGCCTTCACTCACTGCCCCGCGGTGATGAATAAACCCTCGCGTTCCTTGTCCTCCTGGACTCCTGTCTCTCTCCTGGAGACAAAAGAATGAGTAACCAAAATGTGTGCACGCACACACACGCGTGCACATGTGTGAGCAGATCGCCTGCTGCAGCATTCTTTGAAAAAAAAAAAAAAAAACACAGAGTTCCATGAGAAAGAATAAAGAGCTAAACTAGCAGGAGTCCCTTCTCAACAGGCGACAGGAGGAGACCTGAAAGAACGGGCCTTCGGGAGAAAGCATTCCAAACAGAAGAGCCATGCTGGAGCCCCAGGAAGAAGAATGTCTGTGCCCTAAGAAACAGACCCAAGCCAAGGTCAGCCACAGGAAGGAATTCAGAGCTAACACTGCAAGGGCAGTGGCGACCTGATGCAGAGAACAGGAAATTCAGATTTTATTCCAAGTACAATGGTTTATTTTGCATAAAGCTGGTTCTATTAGTGTCTCAAAAGGAATAATAGAAACCAAAAATGAGAAACAACCTAATATTTCCTGTAATTTGTGTAATATTTATGTAATAAATATGTAAATTTATGTAATAAGCATAAAGGGACATTTCTTTGCATGTGTCTCAATAAATGTAATTTTAAAAAACTTAATCTGTGTCTTCAAGTTCTGCTTATTACAAGATTCCCTTCTGTCTTTTTTATAAACACCCCAAAAACCTCAGCCAGACCTGGGCCTGGCTTTTCTGCTTTGGCTTTATTTTCTGACCTCTGAGGATCCCTGTTCGCCCCTTTAGTGACTCCATGCTTCTGCTAAACCAGTGTGTGTCTCTCTGTCCTCTCTGGCCTCCCCATTTCTACATCCCTGCCAATCAATAATTCTTGGAGGGGCTGGGGATTTAGCTCAGCGGCACAAGCACCTGCCTTGCAAGCAGGCGGTCGTGAGTTCAATCCCTGGTACCGATAAAAATGAAAAAAACAAAAAAAGAAAATAATTCTTGGAGAGAGATTGGGGATATAGTTCAGTGACATAAGCACCTGCTTGGCAAACTCGAGGTTGTGAGTTCAATCCTTAGTATCAAAAAAGACCCTAAAAACAACAACAACAAAAAACACCATCCAGAATTTGGAGGCAGATTTATTTACATTGAATGACACTGACCTCTAGAAAAAAATGTCAGGTGCTGATCGTTGGTGCTCTAGAGAGTTCACAAGTAAGCAGCAGAAAGAAACAAAGCACTTGGCTGTCCTTGACTGGTTCTTATGATACACATCATAGTGACCTCCTATGTTCACAGTGACCAGCCTTTTCTAAGAAACAGAAGTGACAGGAACTATGCTGTACTCAGGGGTTGTGCAGTGAACAATTAGAATCTGGACATGGAGTTGATAATATTGTTTTATGGTCACCGGGAGTTAGCACAAGAAACTACAGGAAATCCGTCAGCAACACCAAAGACGTAGAATATTTAGTCAAGGGCCTGAATCCCACAGCAATGTCCCACATGAGTCCAGATGAAAACCCAGAGCTCAGGACAATGCCTCCCATGAGTCCAACTGGAGGTCCAGAGCCACAAGAAGGACTCACGCCAGTCTCTTACGGATCCATGCTGGGAAGGCCCAAAAGTCAGCAGTGGAAGCCAGAGAGTCTGTGTCAGCAGGGTGAAAGAGCTATGCTGGTAGGATGAGGGTTCTACGCTGGAGCCAAGAAGTCACACTCACAACAAAGACCAAGGCTATCCTGAAAAGCACCACAGCCATCCTCAGTGACACGGAGGCCCCAAACTCCTCCGATCACAAGCACAGTCAGGTACCGAGCCAGCATGACAAGTTCATCCTGGAGACCAAGCAGCACACCTCTTCCCCTCCAGAGCCAGGAAACAGTGCTCAATGTGAGGACCAGAGCTTCTCCAGGACAATCAAATGGCTCAAACAACAACTCATAGGAGAACTCACAATGCCTCAACGCCTCAACACAATAGCTTCTCCTTCTCCATGTCTCTATTTATGCTGGCAACTTTCCTCAGGTGGGATATCTGCGCTCAGCACCATGCTGATGTAATCCAGCTGACCTTAAATTGACCACCAGTTTTTAATCCATAACAAACCTGGGTAACAGAAACTGAAGCATACTTGCTGAGGGGAAGGGGCGCCATTTTCTATTACAGAATCATCCATGAAGGTTTGGAGTGGAGAGGAGTGACTGTTGTTGGTGTTGTTGGTTTGGTTTGTGTTTGTCACTGCTGGCATTACTGTTGCTATCAGCTTGGGAGTGCACTCTGGCTGCTATGGGGAATGGCTCATGGGAGAGTGAGCAGGAGCAAAGAAAGCAGGGAGGAGTCCATCACAAAGAAGTCTGCGCAGAGGGCACTGCAGATAAGTGGATGGATTCAAGATTTACCTGCTGGGGTCCTTGCAGAGAGAGTTTGCAGGTCACAAAGGTGAGGGAGTATCTGGCAAGTCGAAGGTTCTCGTTTGAATACCTGGCAGACGGTGGTCTGTCTGCAGAGAGGAGCAAGGGTGAGGGAGGAAAAGTCTTGGTATCAAAATTGGTTTATTTGGACCCAGTAAATTTGAGGAGTTGTATACAAATTATTTAAAGGTGCTGGGGATTTAGCTCAGTGGCATAAACACCTGCCTTGCAAGTGCATGGTTGTGAGTAGGGGTTTTATCACAACTTCCTGCCACAGCATGGAGCCCAGCCATGCCCTGAGCACTCAGAACTTTACAAGCTGAGCTCCTGTCTGTCCTGTTCACCCTGCATCCTCACACCTGGCACAGTCTGGCATTTGTGGCAGGTGCTCTGTAACTTCCTGCAAACCTGGTGAATGATTTAACAACAAGCCTGTTACGGATTATACCAGGATGTCCCCCAAAGCCTCAGGTATACACAGGTGGGCCTTTGGAAGGTGATGGGATTATTGGAGTGATTGTATTGGATTTGCTACCAGGTGTGGGGTCTGGCCAGGGAGAGGCAAGCATATACTCTCTCTGCTGTCACACAGCAGCAGGTGAACAGCTCTCCTCTGCCACACCTTGCAACCTTCAGACAATGGACTGAAATGTGAGCCACAATGAACCTGTCCTCTAAATTATGGTGCTGGATATTTTGTCCCAGTGATATCTACATTCACAGCAGCAAAAGCACAACTGATTTGGCTGGGCGTGGCAGCACATCCGGGATAATCCCAGCGTCCCAGAAGACTAGGCAGCAGGATCATAAGTTCAAAGCCACCCAGACCTTATCCCAAAGTAAAATTAAAAAGGAGCAGGAGATGTAGTTTAGTGTCAGAGCAATTGCCTGGCATGTGAGAAGGAGGCCCATGTCAGTCCCCAGTACAAAACAAGAAAACGCACAACTGCTGGGCGTGGTGGCACACCCCTGTAATTCCAGCACTCAAGAGGCTGAGGCAGAAGGATTACTGTGAGTTTGAGACCAGCCTGGATTACAAAGTGAGCTCAAAAGAGACCCTGTCTTAAAAAGGTTAAAAAGAAAGAAAGAAAGAAAACAAAACATTCCTGAGCCAATTCACTCCTGCCATAGGATGGTACTCTAGCTCAGCAGATCATTTTCTTTTTTTTGTCTTTTTCCTTTTTATCGGTACCGGGGATCAAACTCACAACTGACTGCTTACAAGGCAGGCGCTTTTGCCGCTGAGCTAAATCCCCAGCCCCC